TACAAATGAATCAGTGAATATTAAAAAGGTGAAAGTCCAACTATGTAAATTTTTAGGAAACTAAAAAAAACTGCATTTTCCCCTATAGTAAATTTTTGTTAATGGTTTGATAAATTTTTTAATGAGGGTAATGTTTTCGAACTTTATACTCATTAAAAAATTTATTGAACCATTAACAAAAACAGGGGGAAATACAGTATTTTTAAGTTTCCTAAAAGTTTACATTATCGGACTTCAAATTCAACATTGGATTCAAATACAACTGCATAACCACAAGTGTCCATACCTGCCAAAATCATCTTTATAGAACTCACCATGAAAACTCTATAAAAACTAAATATAACCTACTAATATAAGTGGTAGAAAGTTCTTATCTATTGTTTTCATGACATTTTTTATGACTTTTTTTTAATTTTCTTAATCGATTATAAAGAACCCTTAAAAAAAATCAGTGCAATAGCACTAGCACTATTCCTACTTAGATACCTATTAATTACTAAAGCAATCCCCTTATTAATTTGTTAAGCCATTAAAGCAATTAATATTAACTTACTTGGATTAAAAGAGTTGTTTGGAGGATTTGTGGATGGAATATCAATACTATAAATAAAGCCATTATTTTGTACGCTGCAGTTATGATTATTAAATGAACATGCCACAATGCGATTATGAAAACCATCTATTAAAGTAATAATTGAAAAATTTAATACATATTTTAGCAACAATTGAAAAAAAGAGCAACCTTCTCAATTTTAGTGGCTCCCTTAGCCTTGGCAATGTAAAAGTAAAAAATATATACACACTACTTTAGTAAATACTTTAGGAACACAAACAATAAGCTGATGGTTTAATTTTCTGAGGAAATACTATACGATTATTTATAAAAATTATTTATATAAAAATAAGAAATGATTTTAAACAAAAAATATTTAAGTTGAACTACATAAGAATTTTAAAATCCTAAAAAAAAAAAATACTAACTTAGAACTGAGTCATAAAATATTTCTGGACATTGCATATTTACAGAATCAGTGATTGAATCATTTATTATTGAACCAGTGATTGATATAAAACACATCTGCATTACCCAGAAAAGTGCTCTGCATAATACCTTAAAAAATAGATAAAAAATTTATAAATCAATATTTATTAAACATTTTGTTGTCATAGCAATAACAACAAATCAAACATAGATAAATAAAAATCATATATTGTCAATATTATTGATAAATGAAAATCATATATTGATAAATGAAAAGCATAACAGTTACTTAAATAAGAAAAAACTGTAAATGAACGCCTACATACTAACTATGATCATAAGCTTCTTAAAAAAATAAGACTATTAAGCGCAATATTAGGGCTTTTTTAAAAAAAAATTTTTATGGGCTGTTTAAATGTAGACTGAGATTAACTACTGCACCCAACATATTCTCCATTTCAAATGATATTTGGAGGAACAAAAGCTTTTTTACCCAGAAAATGTTTCAATGGAAAAAATATATACAAAATACATCAAAACAAAAGTCATTAGACATGTTTAAATGTCATCAAATTCTTTAATTATATTTAAAAAAATGTATATACATTGTAAAAAAACAAAACATTACAAACTATAACATGTGTACCAACACGTTTACCAACATTTTTTAAAATAATGTACCAAAACTTTTAAAATGTTTATGGCTATTCCCTTTAAAAATGGAAATCACCATTTAAGAACATGCATTTTGACGGCTTAATCCACAATACAACTTTATTGCGGTAACAGGTTTTCTTACTTCTGTGACATCTTTGATCGAATGCATCATTTTGGTTTTAAAGATTTTAAATAGCGTAAAACCACCAATTCCTGGCCACTTAATTTTAAACTGCATTGTATATTACCACAAATGACATCAATGACAGGTTCATGAAAAAATATTTCTAAACTCTTAATAAACTTTTTGAGATACAATTTATGACAAGTTTGGTAATTTTTGTCAATAAATTAACAAGTTTTAGCAGAAATACTATAAGGCATAAAAAACACCAAATCATGGCCGGAGATCTGAAACATGGTTATTGCGAACTTATTCCTGGCCATTAAGTTTTACAAAGTAAAAGTAGTGGAAATATTTTTAAAAACACAACAAATTTATTGTCTCGAATTTAAAAAATAAGTTCTGCACAAAGTTTTACTTGCGTATATTTAAGAAAGACTAAAAGCAAAATGCAAAAAGAATAAGAAAATCTTTTTTGTAACAGCTAAACAAAAATTAATTTTGAAACGTTTCACAACACTTTGATGTTATGATATGAGGTTTAGTAAAAGAAATATCAGGTTTAGTAAAAGAAATATAATATATTAGGCAACAAAATACATAAACACAATATAGTGATACTTTGCTAATAACTCGACATTGAGTTGCTATTTTTTTTAAATAAAAAAATTAAAATTTCTTTTAAAATATTCAACGTAAGAATGTTTAGAAGACGTTTAAAAGACGTTTAAAATAAAACTTTTAAAAGCATGTCCGCTAGGTCAGTTTTAGACTGTTATAGACGTCATTATAGACTGTTATAGTTTCTAGACGTCAATAAAAATGCACTACATTTTTGTTAAACGAACCGTTTATGCGGTTTTCAATGACTAACAAGATCACATGATTTTCTGCAAGTCTCGAAAAAAACCCAACTTAATGTGGTGAGAAAATGAGAAACATTTTTATATTTAATATACCTTGACTCCACCGTTGATGAAAAGTTTATAACAATCTCTCACTAGCATACCGTTATGAAATAGATAACTAGTATGATGATGTCATTTTTTATTTCTACGAAAGCCTCAACCAGATAATATGATGAGCGTATCTAACAGAGTTGTTGCGGCAATCTTTTGTTTGAACCACTGCCGATAGTTTTACTACGGTCGCAGACACCGCCAGGTTTTATGTCAAGTCACTCAAATGAAACCTTTTTTTATTTAAGAATATTTGTCTTGTAATAATTAGAGGCGCATCGGATATTTTTGCCGGATATACAGCATAGTGAACTTTTCTCAAGTTCTATAAGTGTTTATGAAGTAAAAACAAGTTTTGCCATTCTACATTAAATAGTGTTCAAGATTTAAAAAAATAAAATCAATATAAAACTGGTATATACAGTATAATATAGGTATATGTGTTAGTAATGTATAAAGAAAAATCGTTTTTTTTATAGCCAAATTTTTGTTTTTTTAAATTACTATTTTCTATACTTCGTCAGCACATATACCGCGTCATACAATTTTTCACTGATTTATATTTATTGTAGACTGGCAAGACTTGTTTTTTCTACATAGAACTTTAGTATAGTTTTTTTTTTCTATTTCATTTCTGATTGTTGTACGCCCATTTTTCAAAAAAAAGAAAAAAAATATTACGCGGCCTTTTTAAAATTTATTATTTTTGATAAATTTAAATTTTATGAAATATATGCAAATCTTTATATATTTTTTTAGTATTTTATGTCACCTTATTAAAAAAAAGCTTCAGTGCAACATAATTGAAAAGTATTTTTTATTCAAATTGTAATAAAAAGCAAAAGAATAAACACTTTCATAACTTTTTGATTATTTTTTTGATTTTATTACGTACTTAATTATGTAAAACAAAATAAAATTTAAAAGTCAAAATAATTTTAAATGCGTTTACTTACTTGAATTTTAAAATCCATTAGAATTGTCAAATGTTGAAAAGAATTCAAATTAAAAATCTAAAACAAAATATATTTTTTAAAAACTGTTTTATTTATAAAGTCTAATATAATATTTTATTTATATAATATAATATAATGTAATATTTAAAAATGTGGGTATTTTTCAACTTTACATGGTAATAACCATGTTGGTTTGTTACCTTGTTGAATTTTATTCCATAGCGGAATAACATTTAACAAAGAAGTTTCTTTCACATGTGCATACGTTGTGAAAAGTAAAGGTGAGTTTCCACTCATCCGTTTTTCATGGGAACGGGAAAAATAATCACGTGAGCATGCGCAGTTTCCTTACGGACAAATAAAAACTTTTATTACGCATGCTCACGTGATTATTTTTCCCGTCCCTTTCCCGTTCCCGTGAAAAAACAGATGAGTGGAAACTCGCCTTTACATCACATTTGATATGCGTATGCAATGCATCGCATGTGATATGCGTAAAATATATACTTGAAAATTGAGGAGTAGGTTTGAGCAAAAAAAAAAAAAAAAAATTTTGCTACCAGTTTTATGCATAAACTGCAGAACTTGCTATTTTATTTTAAAAACTTTTAATTATTGTTATTATTAATTTTTATTATCTATGCTTTATTATTATTTTAACTTATTTTGACTCTTTAGACTTTCTAGTTGATATTTTTTTATTTATTTTAGTTTTATATCTTTGGATTTTATAAGCTGTTATTTTTGCTGTTACTCCGGAAATTATTAGCTTAAAGTTAATTTTTTATATTTTTTTATTTCCAAAGTTATAATTTTTAAACAGGAAATGATAATAAAAGTATTATAATGTCCATGTTTTTTCGTAAATTAACAAATTTTTTTAAGTTCATACAATTTATATTCATTAATACACATACTTGGTTTTTAAGCGACCGTGCAACTAAAAAGTGACCGTGCAACTAAAAATGCAAGTAACGTATTTATAGAGCAGAAAATAAAATATTGCATAACTATCTGGTTAAGTTTAAACACAAATATATGGAGTGACTTCAATGTTACTTTTTATTTTACACTTTCGAGTAAAGAATTGTTTTAAGAAGGCGTAATATATATATATATATTTTTTTTTACTGATGCTTTTTTTCAATTCAATACAGGTTGTGCTTAGTTTCGAATTAAAAAAAAAATAAAATAAAATAACATAGTTCGTTACGAATTTGTTCGCAATAATTTATATAAATGGTGTTAATTATGTGAATATAATTTGATAAAAATCATAAATAAAAAAATAATTTTCAACTTACCTTAATTTCTCTTTGGTTTTCTCTTGCTTCAATTTTTTTTCTCTCTTGCTTCAATTTTTTTTCTCTCTTGCTTCAATTTTTTTTCTCTTTGGCTTTAATTTTTTTTTTTCTCTTGCTTCAATATTTTTTTTCTCTTGCTTCAATATTTTTTTCTTTTGCTTCAATTTTTTTCGTTAGTTCTCTGTTTGTTAAAAATAATATAAAGTTAAAGAAATTGTTTTAAAAAGTAGTTTTATCCGCAACTGTTTGAGAGTCTCAATAAGAGACTTTGAAAGTCTTAATTTAAGTTTCATAACTTTATAATAATTTCATTTTAAATATAATTTTTTTATTGAAACAATAAAATTTAAATAAAAAGTACTAGATATTTTATTTTATCAGTGGTTTTGTAAATTAGCGCAATATATTTATAAAGTATGTAATCATTTATGAAAAATTTAAACAATTTCTAACTAAGCTTGGCTTAATATGTGTTGTCCTAGTTAACACAAGCAACTATTTTGACACCAAGGGTAACTAATATAAAGAATTAACATAAGAAATTTTATTTTAGATAATGGGCATGTTCTTACTACCTTAGTACATTTATAAACCAACATGATAAGAGCTAAGCCGTGCATTTTAGGCGCAATCGTTTCTACGAGGTCAATGAGAACTTTGACAAATCACAGCATACAGTATTTTAATTACTCCTAAAGCACAAAGTTAAAGTTATCTCAAAAAGTTCTAGTAATAAATAGTTTTTTTCTCTAAATATCTAAAGCGTATTTGAATCCCCAAACAGCATTTTAAAAGTTTAAAAATTAAAGGTAAATTATTCAATCAAATAATGATAAAATTAAATGAAAATAAAGAAGAACAAACAAGTCAAAGCTTATCAATAGATAAAATTGCTGCTTCATGAAGTTTTGGCCATAAATATTATTATTATTTAATAGTTAATGACATTAAAATTGAACAAAAACGACAATTTTCCTAAAGATCTTCTAAAATAGTTTATAATTAATTAATAGAGATTCTTAAACTCTAACATCCTAATTTTTTGAAACTATCAAATATGGAGGAATGTCTTTTGTGCTTTCGACGACCGTTATATAATATAATAGTTGTCAAGAGTTATTAAGATATAATTTGTTTTTAAAAGTATTTGTCGTTTAAACAATAAAATACTTCAATGTAACAAATAAATGATACAATGAATACTCCATTATCTTCTATCAATTATTAAAAGGTTTTAAATCTGGCTATAGCTCTATCGGAAGATTATAAGATTTAAAACTTCTACGTAGATTGATACCTAAAAAACTATAATATTATAAAACCTAAACTTTTTACTAAAAGTTGTTTTTTTATTTTGTAATCATAAAAAAAATTTATTTTGAATATTTTTTGCTAAATGGACATGAAATGAAGCAATAGTAATATTAATAGTAATTTCTTATATATTTAATAATTTCTTATATATTATAAGTTATATAATTGTAAGAAAAAAATTTTTAATGCTACTCCTTTTATTTCCATAAGAAAAACGTTGAAAATTGCGAGAAAAAAACAACACCCATGTAAATAATTTATAACTGAATATTTAAAAAAAGCACATCTTTTTTTAGTAATTTAAAATGTTTTGAGAACTACCCCCGTTCTAAAATTAAAAAAGCGTTAAAAGTAATTTAACATCACTTTTTATTCGTTTGAGTAGTTTTTAAAACATTTAGTTATTTACTTAGTTATAAATAATAATTTAAAAACACGCACTATATATATAAATATTTATATATTATATAAAACGTAAATAAATCTATAAAACATATATAAATCTATAAAGCATATATAAATACATAAAACACATATAAATATATAAAATAATATATAAAAGGTAAAAAAATATCAATTAAAACTTCCAAGGATACGTTTAAGGCTAAGCCTAAGCGTGGGAAATAAGGATCAGCTCAAATTTACTATTTAAAAAAAAAAAAAAAAAAAAAAAATCAGTTTACGATTCAAAATAGTTTGATGACAAAAGAGTTTTACTATTATTCCCGAACCATGTATTTTGCATTTCAATTTAATTGCATTTAAATTGCTAACCCTTTACGGCTGGTGCATTTATATGTGATACACACCACAGTTTTAAATGAAATTACTGATAGGTCACTTTACATTTAAAAGATAATATTAAGTCTGCCTACATTGTGTTCGCACTTTATATTATTACCTTGTCTATTTCTAAACCATAGTTTAAATCTAAACTAATTTATCAGCCTATGTGAAATGTGTGGTTAAAATTTTTTTATATTCTTGATCAAATAATTTTTATAGGGTTGACGTCAAGTAATGATAGTGCACACCATGGTATGCCATTTACTGTGTTATCTGTAAACCAGAAAGAAACTGATTTACCTTATAACCAGGTTCTACCACGCTCTATAACGTTGATAAACTTCCACAATCAACCGTCACTATAAAAGTGTGATTTGTTAACGGTTCTCGCTTTTATGTAGACAATTGGTTATAAATTGAATAATTTGATTCATGTAAATGTAAAAAAACAACAGAAATATACCCCTAAATGTAAAAAATTGTGTTATACTTTACGAAAAAATTAATGAACAAAGAGTTGAAGATTTCCCGAAAAATTTAGAATTCCACTTGATAAAATATTTTTTATAAAAAACATTAAATAAAAAAAATAAACTATTGTTTATTTCGTTTATAGACACCATTAAATTTACATAAAAGTCTTTAATAAATTGTCCTACATCAGAAAATATCTATTCAAAATAATCATACTTTTATTATTTGATGATTTTAACATAGATCTGCTTCAGCCAAATTACTGAAATAACAACGACTGATTTTTTAAATTTACTTTTTTACTTTATTAAAGAAAACTTTAAATTTAACTTGGTAATAAAATATACTAAAAAGATGATTTAAAAAAAAATAATAATAATACTAACTTTTCTTTCCAAAAGTTTATTTCTGAAACAACATTACTTTAGATGACTTTATTAGACATAAAAAAAGATGCAAATTAAGGATGAAAAATAATTTAAATAATCTCGTTCGCGTCACAAGATGTTACAAATCAAATGCGTCATACGCATCGCAAAGGTAAAGAAAACCATTTATATTAGGTCTATTTTAACTGGATTATTTATAAGTTATGCATTGTACCTAATTTCTATTATTACAAACAAATTTTTTTTATGTATTTGTGTCTTTTAAAAAAGTTAGTGTAGGCAGTAGGCAGTTACAAATAAATAAGTAAATAAATAAATTTTTCTGAAGCCCCCACAAATGCATAGTTTAAGTATGACGTCATCAATTACCAATTTGAAATGAAATAATAAATAATTGATATAATTTTCTTGATAGTTATTCATATATCCTAACAATCAGAAGATACACCCCGTAAAATTACCTCTGCTTGTATATAAATTTAAATTTTATACAAATACAAAAATATTACCTACAAATTATATTTTTGTATTTTTTTATGTTTTGTTGGTTGAGAGGAGACAACTGAATATATTGCATCTTTACGTCAATCAATGGTTCTACATAGTTCTTGTGCGTTCCGAATTTACCTTGAGTATACCTAGCTATACTGCAGAAAATTTTTCCCTTTATTAATCAGAGACTTTTTTTTTTCTATTCTAATAATATAAGATTAAAATTTCAGGGGTTACTGCTTTTTTGTAAATATTAGACATATAGAAATAATTACTGAAGTTCATCATTTTATGACTACCTTTAAAAATAGTTACATACTCGTCTAAATTACAAGTTATTAAATACATTTAATCAACGTTAAAGTTATAAATTTTTGTTATTAATATATAACTGATATAATATTAAAAAAAAAGTTTATAACATACTTTTTACAAAATTTTGTAACTGCGACAAATTAATTTATCGTAGGCAATATTATCAGATTTTATTATAACTTAACTATAGAACAAGCGTATTAAATGTTTTTTTTTTTTTTTTTTTGATATTCAATCCCCCGGTTAATTCCCTCCTGTTTTAGAATAAATTAACCCGGTTAACTTTTAGGGTTAATTTGTTTTAAAATAAGTTAGAGTTAAAAAGTTTTAACCAGGTGTTAATTTTTTAGAGTTTTAGTCCATTTTGCTACATCTGCATTACAAATTCCTAAGAGTTTTACGGACACGTTTATAATAATCAGAGTGGGTAATTTTAAATAAAGGTTTTTGTAGGTTTTAATAAAAATTAAAACATGTTGTGTTTTATCTACGTTAAATGGGAGTTTATTTGCTTAAAATTTGTAATTAACACTTTCCAGCTCAAAATTCAGATAAAATTGCTTTTTTGCTGTTTGAAAAAAAAAAAAAAAAAAACAACTTTTACGTTCAGCGAACATTATTGAATTCAACTTTGCAGACTCACTCCTTAGACTAATTACATAATTTAAAATTCAGAGCGGATCAAGAGTTAATCTTTGCAAAACTCCTTTTCCTTTCATATTTTTTTTTTTTTTTGTAAATTTTTTTAATGTTTCTGAAATATTTTTTTTCCTTAAAAGCATGAGGTAATACCAAATGTTTTTGATAGTTTAACAATCCAAGGTGAAGTTATAATTATCAAATCATTAATAGTATTGTCTACTAACTTAATTACTGTGTGTTCAGCTAAATTGATATTTAAAAAAACGATATTGTGTTAAAAGGAAATTGTTTTGTCTTAAAAGTTTATTTTAAGAAAATTGTCAATAAATTCTATTATATCAATTCTAAATTACACTTTCAAAAGTTTTTGAGAAAACATAATAAGAATTAGTAGTGATAATAGGACACAGAATAAAAGGACGCATAATAGGTAATAGGATATAGAACAAGTATTGATATAGGCCTATAGTTAAAAATATCTGATTAATCTTTTTTTATGTAAATTGCGTAAACCTTAGCTAACCTAACCTAACGTAACCTTAGCTAAATATAGTGCTTCAAGAAAATCCCCTCGTATATTAAAAGTTTTATAACTGCAAATGTTTCTGTTTGAAATATCTAAAATACTAGAAATGTCATCGAAACCAGTTGATTTTTCTTATTGACAATTTTTCTTTTCAAAA